CGAAATTTCTACGGCATTGGATTTTGATAATTGAAGGCTAGTCACGAGGATATCGACCTAGTCAAGTGGACGTTACAGTGCGGTATGCGAGTGATCTATTAAGGCGAATAATAGTTGAAGTTTCAATTGAAGTGTTTGTTGTAAATATTCAAAGTGAAATAAAGTTGAGTTTGATTTTTTAGTGTAGTCAATTATTGGTAAGCCACAGGGAAAAACGTAACAGTATGGTCTTTCTGTCATAACAAAGTTTTTCCAGTTCGCCTTATTGCAATATGAATTCAACAGTCTGATTTTACTAGCCGTTGTTATCAAATTCAATCCAGGATGACACATATGCGAGTTGAGGTAGCAGGCGAAACATGCTCTCCAGGAAAGTGGAAGCCATTTCGGTTGAGGGAAAAGCCATCTGTTGATGCCATCGAAAGTGTTTTTAATTTCACCGAAGAACGGCAGTTGCCATCTGCTCCAGAGTCTATTCAGCAAACATACGTCGTTGTCTATGATCGTATATCTTCAGTTCCTGGATCAGTTGAATTTCGTACAGGTGCAGGCTCAAGTCTCGACTGCGAAAGGTCGAGTACTTGTGAACGCGAAATCGACTGCCTCCGATTCTCATGCACAGTCTCACAAACAACGGTGACATTTTTGTCAAATCTTACGTTTTGTCAATGTACAGATATTGATCGATCGTTTACTGAACCAGAGGACTGAAGTCCATCACATGGTGAATAGTCCTCTCGGTAGGACGATTATGGCGACCATATAATAGACGGAGCGCGCGGTACGTTGCCCGAACATCACACCCATTTTGATAAAACAATTTAATCTTTTGCACGGGTCGTTGAATGCTATATCCGTACATGGTGATTTCGCAAAACAGACTGAACAGACAACTAATTTGACAGATATAGCTTCAACAAGATGGCCGTTATCAATTGTCACAGTTCAGAAGTCCCTGTTGGAGTACTCGTTACATCCAAGTAACAATATTGAGAAAGCTCCTGGTTTTTCATAATGATAAAACATTTCTAAGAAGAGGACGATAATGGCAATTATACAATTAACTACGTACACATATAGCCTCAGATATGAAGAACACAAACATGTGTTTTGGAACGTAAACATTCTAGTTTTCATCGTTTCAATTGAATAATATCAGATATTATTCAATTTGAAATGATGAAAAACAAAGTAATTGCAGTTCAAAATGCATGTTTATGTGTTCTTCAAATCTGAGGTTATCGCGTATGGAAGCTCGCATTTATTAATTAGTAAAATTGTTCGAATTACACTGATGAAAATGGATACCCTGATTAACCACCTCAAACAACAATGGATTCTACACAATTGCATATGCAGATGACACGGTTATCTTGCAAATCAATGAATATACTATGCGATAGAGCGCATGATGTGCTCAAATTGATGGAAGTATGGTTTAAGGAACACTCACTGTCGTTCAATCTCAAGAAAACTGAGATGGTCCTTTTCACCAGGGAAAAAAGTTTATCAGGCTTAAAACCTTCCGAAATCTTCAAAAGCAAAGTAAACTTCTCTGAAGAGGTGAAATACCTCCTCGACAGAAAGCTAACATGGAACTCTCACCTACAGAGTAGAGCAAAAAGAGCGTATGCGGCTTATGAGCTATGTCGGAGGACAAAGGGACGCGCATTGGGTCTTTCACCCCTTCTGGTTACCTGGATCTACACTGCAATAATAAGACCTATGTTAACGTACGGAGTCATTGCATGGGGACTGGAAGTTCTACAAGCAACGGCCATCCAAAAATTATATCAAATACAGCGACTGGCTTGTTCAAACATCACAATAGCTATGAGAACAACACCAACCGCGGCAATGGAATTAATCACGGGTCTGATCCCTCTGGACCTGTACGTTAAGGAAGTTGCGTTAATGGCCATGTTACGATTGCGCACGGCTGGTGTAAACTTCGCCCTATTAGCCTTGAACAGACAACGTGTAACCTCAGGGTTAGTACTAGAGAGTCACTAAGATTCAGCCCAATTCTCGGTAGATAATAACATTATTCTGGGATGGGTTAAAGGCCACGACAGGAGTAAAGGTAATCGCATTGCCGCCTATTTAGCCGAGAAAGCGGCTGGACTGAGAATTTTAGGACTCAGTGGCACCTACGGCCCGATGACTTCGACAGTTGCGGAACTAGCTAAATGTTACACTCATGCTCAATCCCTAAAGAGATAGGACGAAATTAAAAATCTACGCTTAACAGTAGGATTTCTGACTGGCCACATCGACAGACACATCAGGTCTTTCATTTTCTGTGATTCCTTCAAATTCTCATATTCAGTTTAGGGTCAATCTACCAGTTGCGTCACGGCATTCGCAGATAACGATTGATGTCACTCCTTAGCACCTTGACTATTTGGAATAATAACGATTCGATCTATCATTTCATTGCATACAATTCTGCCTATAGAAAGGATTCATATCATGCGAGCAGGTCAGTGTAAAACTACTACAGTGTAGCTCGATTACCTCCCCATGTTTGATTTAGAAGTCGTCTGTGTACTAGGTTTTTCAGCCAAAAATATTCTACAGACCACGAATGTTCATTATCTACTCCTTACAGTTTGTAATTTCATTCACGAAGTTTGTGTACTTTGGTGTTAAGTGGTTCATGAACATGTTTGATGATCAGTCCCACACGTTTTTGTAATTTTATGTTTAGCTCTCCAATTATTGAAGAGACTCTCCAATGCTCTCTCTATTTCAAAACAAGGAAGGCTATGAGTTCTGTCTGAATCTTCATATATATTACTCATTCAATGTTTGATCACCGGAGAACTACTTATAACTCAATAGCATGTCTACTTTCAGATCCCATGTCTTTATGTAGGTGTACCTAACCTCTTTCTTTTTATTCACTTGGTGAATACTTCGATGATCGTTTTTGATATATAACCGTTATCCTTCAGTTGTAATATCTAGGGCAGTACTGTACTTGTCCTGGACTGAAATAATTGAATTATCGAATATCTGACGAACAATAAAATGGAAACATTTTATATTATGTTTCAGACATATTTCTCTTCTTGAGTATAGATCACAAAAAGGATATAAAGTTTTATAACTTCTATTTATTATATGCGAGCGCTTTCGATAGCTGGCTGTGGGACCTCTTCTTTTCATTATATACACAGCTGATATTCTAAAGAATATTCATAATTGTAAAGTGCAGGCTTTTGCTGATGATACACAGGTATATATCAGTTTTCCTACCAAAAATCTAGATATCACTGAAGATATTATAAACACTGAATTGAATAAAATAAAAGAAATATCCAATGAGCACAACTTAAAGATCAATCCTGACAAATCTAAAGTACTATATTTTGGAAACAAATAAAATTCTTTTAAAAATAATATGACACTGAAAATTGATAATAATATACTCAAAGCTAGTGATTCCGCTAGGAATCTTGGTTTAGTTATAGATACAGACTTACGTTTCTCTCAACATATAAGTAATCTCGTTAGTAAAGCGTTTTCATCCCTCAAACTGATATATAGTAATCGACACGTTTTAAGTATTGAAATTAAAAGAACCTTGTGTGAGTGTCTAGTTTTGAGTCATTTCAACTATTGCGATTTCATTTATGGTCCCTGTTTAACTAAAGATGATAGTAATCGGATACAAAAAGTGCGGAATAGTTGTTGCAGACTAATTTATGGAATACGAAAATATGACTCCATCTCCCATAAACTCAAAGAGTGCAACTGGCTGAACATGGAGAATCGACGGCAACTCCACTTGGGTTCATTCACACATGGACTCCTAAACAAGTCCAACCCACCAGCTCTATTGCATAAATTCATTCCACGTTCTAGAATACATTCAAAAAATGTCAGAAACAGATTTGCCCTGACCATGCCCCAGCACAAAACTGCGATATTTCAACGATCTTTTATTTTTAACTCCATTCGAATGTACAATCTTCTTCCTGACCAATTCAAGTTATATAACATAAATAAATTCAAATATGAATTGAAGAACTATTTATTACTCACACAGTGATGTAATATAGCAAATTCTGATAATTTACATTTTACCTTTTAATTGACTGCAATTATTCAGGCTAGTAAGTTTTCAATAATGTATATGTGATGGTGATTAACCTGTATAACTTATTTATGTTTACTGCGCCACTCAATTATTTTTGTAATCCACTAAGTACAGCCAATTACTAAAATTATCGTTTACGTAATTCGTGAACTTTCTTTTTCAAATCGGGGTTCAAACCCCTGTTGGTTGAGTAGAATAGCTCTGAGCTAGACTTCGCCAACACTTTCATTTCATTTGTATATCATATGTCATTTATTACAATAAAGACGTTCATTATTATTATTATTATATCATCTTTTCGGCTCTACCTAAGTAGAGCACTCAACCTGGGAGGAGGCATGGGAATGTTTGGTCGTGATACTCCAGGCAACCTATCATCATCGAGAAGTGTTTTCCGTCACTGTGAATTCTAATGTGGGGAAAGTGGGTGGTGCTTTTACCAGAAAATCGACTATAAGTTGATGGGTTTGAATTAATTAAAATTTCATTTTCTTCGTTTTGGAGCATGTTAATATTAACTTGTTTTCGAAAATGCTTTTCAGTTAGTATCAAATTGTTCTGTAGCTAATTTGGGGTTCAGTTTTTTTTTCACATCAAACGTAATCAAATTCACTGAATAGTTAGACCTTTCTCAATTATCCAATTCTGACTTTTGAAAATCAGAACATAATAACCAAATTTCTCATTCGAATAATTTTGATCGTACGCTTGAAAAAATAAAAAAATAACTTGTCCTCGCCAGACAGTGTGAAATATTTATTGGAGCAATTACGAATATAAAAAATGACAGATGATTAACTCAATAAAGCAAACGATGTTAAAAAATACAGAGTCCATCCACTGGAAACAGGAAAGAGAAATTATCAATCATTAAATCACCACCTATATATTTGAAAAGTCGCAATCATAAAACTCATTAAATATTGGTTTCGAAGTGAATTAATAAAATGTCAATTTCCAGTATATATTCGTTGGTTATATTAGCACATGTAAGTATGCAAGATAGTGTTTTGTGTATATTATGTTGCTTTTTCGTGTGTTCGGATTGTAAAATGAAGAAAAAATTAGATACAAGAACACTTGCAACCCATTTGGAATAAGACAAAAAATAATAGTGTTATTATGAATGGATTAAAAGAAAAAAATCGCATCTAAGAATAGTTCATTCTAAAATATGAGCTTCGTAAATCTAATTCATCTCAATATTGTGAGTCATTCTTGGAAAATCATTTTGATTTTTCTTACATCAACGAGCTGTAAGATATTACTTTAATAATAATAATAATACTTGTTCAAAGATCGTGAGGAATGATATTATTCTCATCAAGTCTTTGACAATATTGCATTTCATTAGTATGGGCAGTTGCTGAATCACATTAATTTTTATATATTTTCATTAAAGAGTTATAAGTTACCATCAGTTCAGATATTTCTTCTGACAAGAGCCAATGGTAGTCCAGAAAGATATAATTAAATTTTTCAAAATTTTATAAAAACTCATTTTCATGTATCATACAATTGAACATTCCAGTGAAGGTTTTGCATTATTCGAGGTTCACATATCAAATTTAAATAATTCAATTTTTGATAGCTTCATATGTGAGTCGATATTTCAATTGATATTCGGTGTAGTATTAAAAAAAGCTTGTCATGAATGGATTCAGTAGAGTAATAATTTTGATAAAAATTTCGAAATCTGTATCGAGGAGAGATACATACATGCTAAAAAAATTAATATTTCGAAATTGAATTTTGAAAAATTCATCTCTTCCAACTACCTACACTGTAGGTTCTAGTGAATGCCTGACAGAAAACTTCTTCCCCAGTATTCCGGGTGTCAGCCGAACCACTGGATTACTACATAATACAACTATTCAGTCTATTGCAAAACTTTTTAAACACCAGAACAGAAATACTGTTTCCCTACGCACGTTTTACTTACCAAATTAGCAACCTTGGGTAGCATACTGATGATGCTAACTTGGTTAGCGAAATGCGCACAAATGACTTCATTGTTTTTCGAAATATTTGACTTGATGATCAATCTGCATGCGTTCAAATTATTCGCCAAAGCAGTTTTTTCCATTCCTCTTGAGACACCTTCAATACATGGTTTTGGAACGCTTCAACTTCTACTTCGGCGCTCGTAATGCGTTGACCAGACAGTTAAGTTCGATATTCGGAAACAAGAAGAAGTCACTGGGTGCCAAATCAGGACTGTACGGAGGATGAGTTATCAATTCGATGTTTTGACTGCTCAACTGTTTGACGAGATGTGTGAGAGCTCGCATTGTCATGATGGAGAGTGATTCGTCTCCGGTGGTTAGCTTTACGAATTTCTCCGAAGACTTCCGGAAAAAAGACGGTCGGGTGCCACTCAGAATTAACCGTTCTACGTTGCTCAAGCGGAACAGTGGCCTCATGACCTATTCGGTCGAAGAAACAGGCTTTTCTGTGCTTTTTTCACGAACAACTTTTGTTGGATTCAGCTCGTCTTGGAATTTTTGTTTTGTTTCCGGCTCATACGCATATATCCATGATTCGTCACTTGTCAGGATTTTAAACACATCTTTAATGGCGTATCCAACGGAAACATTTTTTTTACAACTGAGTTTTCATGCAAAATCGATTGTATCGAAGTGGAACTAATGTGCAAGGATGCCTCTATCTCCCAATATATCACATGACGATCTAGCATGAATATTCTGATTTCTGATGGTGCTTTATCGCCATACAAAAAACTGAGTTCATCGACACATTCTTGTTGATATAATCCACGTCGAAATTTATGAAAAATAATGCAACGAAAACCTCCTCCTGAAATTTCCATTTTCTAACTATTAACAAAACAAATAGCACAGACCGNAAGTTATTAAAACTTCAAATCCTTTTTGTGAACAAATGGCAATATTAAAATATATATTTAATGGTAAAAAATTATTCCATGAAAAAGAATCCACATGTTTTCCGATGACATTCCAGGTTAGCTTCCCAAATTTCTGCTACCGCAGTTGTCGGTTGATTGGTCAAACCACTAACATAAAAACTTGGCAAGTTGACTTGGATGTCACACCAATAGGTGGTTCCACTTACGTCTCGCTTGCGTTCACGCAGTTATTTTTTTTAAGTACTTTTCTTGGTTATTCACATTTTGTCTTCAACAGCTGTCTACCGGGTCTTAGACTGAATTCAATATGGGAATTATCAGAATAGTAATCATCTATTTATCTTTTGGTTTTCATGGAATTGTTTTCCTGCAGCTTGACTGCTGGAAAATAGGTGGTTCCACTTATGTCTTGCTTGCATGTGAGCAGTTATTTTTATTAATTACTTTTCTTGGTTATTCACATTTTGTCTTCAATCCAGGACCGCCTGCCCGGTACTGATGATGCCCAATAGGCTGAAACAGCTGTCCACCGGTGGCCCTTAAATTGAAATCAATGTGGGCTTGATCAAACTAGTACTATTTATATATTTTCATTTGATTTCAGATATCACTAGTAATAGGTGAATCCAATATTATGCCTCAATATGAAGAAGACTGTTTGAAGGACAATCATCTTTCATCTCAAGATTTGGCTGGTATCGGAGGAAATGACGAACTAGGTTTACCTGTTAAATGTTATTTCAAATGTTTAATGAAGAAAACGGGTCAGTTGGGTTCAGATGGAACAGTATATTTTTTTCCAGCATTCATTCTGACTCAGAAACCGGAAACACAAACTTGTTTGAATAATATTGGAAAGATAATGGAGTGTGAGGATATGGTCCAAATTTTTGAATGCTTTTACTAACCCAGCAACTGAACCTATTGAAAACTTTTTAATAAATATATTACTTCTTGCATCAATGAGACTGATATATCCCTGTATCCCACTAAAGTTAAAACAATAAAAATTTCAGTAATAATAAACTCGAGGTTACAATAGTGGCACCCGATGGATGCATAGGGTCATCTATTTGTTTTATATCGATGACCTGAAACTTCAAGAGTGAAAGAGGACACGCATGCTATTGATATGGAATTTGCGACAAACATATGTGCAACGGTCCTTTTCAAAAGAGAACAATACGGGGGTTTCGGAGAAGAGGTGCAGCTCGTAGATGGAAAAAGCCTACATAATTTGGATGCCTGAGAGAAGGCATTCGATTAAAAGGGTGGAAATAACATCATTTAGACTTTCTTAATGAGTTACTTCTGGGTTCTATAGATCAGATCAGAATAATAAACTTTTAACGGCAGTGACTATGGAATTCTCAGATTCAAACGCATCTGATCGTACTTGTGAACATATGTGTGAAAAATTGCTAATAACTAGTCTTCGTCGAACAGAGTGTGGAATATCTCTGACCGCTATAACGAATTAAAAAAAAAGATAGATGAGTGGTTTAATAATGCAAACAATGAGCAGAAATACACAGTCCATCCAATGGAAATAGACATTATCGATCATTAAATCAACACGTATGTATTCAGGATGTCGTTAACATAACATATTCTGGAGAGGTGCATCTGATATGCTCAAGTATAGGTGAAAACACTCACTCTTACCTCTCATGTGGACCTACGATTTCGTAGGTACGTGTGGCAGATACCCGACGGAAAAATAACAACTAACGCAGCTATCTGCTACACCTACCAACAGAATCGTATGTCCACATGAGAGTGGTTCAAGGGTCACAAACTGGAGAGTAGGCAGATTGAGACCTCACTGTAGTCATACTTTCCTGAAAATGGCTTTAAAGTAGGAGCCAAAACATCGTGAAACACAAAACTCTGGTCGCGGTTCAACCGTGACTTCCTCAAATCTATTGTAATTTTTGAAGAGGTTGTGACATTTCCGGTGTGTTCGGCAAGAATATATCATAATTTATCTTCGCGAACTGGGTGGACTATGTTCATAGCTACCTGAGCTGAAAGGCTATTGTCAGTCTCGTCAGCCATGCACTACATGGGCTGAAAAGTCTCGGACGTAACACATAGATGGCCTAGTCTTATTGCATTCACCGCTTTATTAGTTGGTACTAACCTTCAAAAGGAAAATATCGTGTTACAAAACAATCAGAACAATGGCAAAATTGCATGAATTGGGCTTCAAATTGCTTCCGCATCCACCGTACCTTCTAGGTCTGGCCTCTAGCGACTTTTTTCTATTCGCAGAACTCAAAAAATGTTCACCGGTAAAAAAATTCGCTCGAATGGAGAGGTTTCTGTAGAAACTGGGGCCTATTTTGGGGCAAAAGTTGAATCGTTCTACAAAAGTGTTCTTGAAATGTTAGAGCGGCGTTGGAATGACTGTGTGGCTCTGGATGGAGATTACGTTGATGAATAAAGCCAATTTCGGAAAAAAAAACGCATTTTCTTTCTCAGGTGCCGGATTTTACAGTAGTAACATGGCAGAATCAACACACTTTTATCAAGATATATTTTTGAAAGGAAAAATCTGGTTGAAGGCACCAGACAACGTCATTTCAACTCATCCGTCATATGTGTCCTCAGTCATGCTGAGCTGAAACACGAATGCATTGCTGGACTCGGCTGCCCTTGAAAAACAAGCATATGAAAGTAAAGGCGATAAAATCACTCCATACGAAGACGTCATCAACAGGATCATCAGAAGATACATTCCATGAATATTAACGATGAACTAGGTTCCCCAACGTGATCCGTTGCAGAGTGAATCTTCAACATCGACTGCTGAACAAGATTCGTCTTTTAAAGGGATATTTGCTGAAAGGAAACTGGTTAAAACTGAAGCTCAGAACACATAGCTCTGTTTCGATTCGCCACAGGTCTCATCAATGGTGCTGAGTTGAGTCACGTAATCAATTCTTATCTGTCTTTGAAGGAAAACTTTACATAAAACCGAAATTGATGCTTTGAGCATCAATTTCGCTTTTATGTAATGACAGAACCTGTCATTGGCATCGCTTTAGGCTTTACCAAAAAAACATTGAACACCTGGATGGCAGGAAGATTTATGGACTTCTGGCTCACTCCAAGGCGTTTATTCACCCTTCGAAGCTGGATACCAAACAGTTGTTGGACTACAGTAGGGATGAAGTGCGGTGTTTAACAGGCCTTTTTACGGGTCACTGTCATTTGAATCATCATATGCAGAGACTCGGACTGTTAGAAGACAGTGTGTGTCGCCTCTATTTGGAAAATGATGAAACAGAAGAGCACCGTGTCTGTATCTGCCCCACTGGAGACCGAATCAGGTTCTTAGAGTTCGGCCGTAGTCTTACCATCTGACCTGAAAGACCACTCACCATGTAAACTAATTAGCTTCGTTAAGAATCTGGGTTTATTTAGTCGAGTGTGAATTGGTGTAAGCCACAATAAACCCTTGCAGGTTGCGGTGGAGGATTGAATAGACCCACTCAATTTAGACGTAACCCAACCTTGTACCAACAATTTAGTAATAGCCCAATATGCACTCAGAATAGGCTCTCAGGTTATTGCGTTCGAATAGACTTGGTGCTTTACTAAACTCTGAGTGACTATCTAAGATTATATAGGGATGTGATGGAAGTTCAATAAGGCAGAGACGATTTCAACAGAAATGAGAGCGAATTAACATACATAAAGTTTGGCTACCCTTACTTAACAATACATGAATCAGGTCAATTATTGAAACCAATGGAAATGTAGCCAACTCAATTGAATAAAACTGAAGATTCGAATATCGAGCAGTAGTATACTGTGTCAAAGCTATTTGGACGTAGTCATAGCTGACGTGCCGTCTAATATGACAGGTATAAAGAAACCTGCAGACCACTACCATAAATCCCACAAAAAAACTTTGTCACACTTATCTACGGCCGAGTTCACACCTTGAGTCTAAACGTTGTGACGACAATTAGGGCACTGTGTCCATTGCCTCATTGCTTTTGATAACATCTACCACAGTAGTTAACGAAACATTTGTTTTGTTTCAAGAAAAAAACACAAGCACTACAGGAATTGAATCGCTCGAGATTGAATTCATTTGGAAAAACGATCTAGGGAAGTTTATTCCACATCAACCCAGTTCTCTAAATCAATTAGTAATTGAACAGTGGAGTACAAGGTGTACTCCAAACAGATTTTGAAACAGAACTACAAAACTGTGAGCAGCCACAGTCCGTCGCGTATTTCTGATATGTAGGGGAGACTGTTGTACCTTGGATCACGATTCACATTTGAATTTTTTTACAAGCTGTTTTTTTCAATATAATAACGGAGAGAGTCTCTACTGGTAGCACCATTGTTCCTACACATTATGTAAATTTTGAAAATTTAAATATTGAACAGCAATAGAAAAAAATGAACATATATATTGTATTGATATATGATCAATGGTACAAGACCATAATGTACCATTGATCATGCCTTCGTGTACCTTGGATCATGAACGTCTTGTACCTATAGTATGTATCAAAAACAACATTTTTATACAGAAATGAGTATTTAATTTCTTTGATTGCAAAAATATTAATATTGAAGTATAAGTAACGTTATTTCAATTTGTCTATTTTACTGAATCAGTTGACATTGAAGCTGGAAAAGTCTACTTGGAACCATAACTGTCCATCAGTTCTAGCCGATCATCATTAAACACGCCTCTATCTAAAGGGTAAATTCCTGCTTTTTTGAAGCCACTAGTTATGTTGATAGTGGTGAATGCTCTGGGATAAGCTTGCCCAACACATTCTGCAACACTATAAATGTCAACTCTTTTTCCAGGGTTGTTAATAAGCCAAGATTGAACTGCTTGATTGTAATAAGCCTTGAATGGAAAATAGACGGAAAGATCAAGTGGTTGTAATCTATGAGAAGTGTGGGGTGGTTATCAATTATGAGCAATACACGTTATTTCTCAGTAGGTTGAGTGTGTTGTATGAAATGTTCCATGAATTTAAAATACAACTCTTTGTTGGACCAACCTGAAGGGTGAGCACCACCGATTGTTCCTGGAGGCGCTCCCTTCAACATGTGGTCTTTATAATTCACTCTATGAAATATCATCATAGGAGGTATGTGATTGTCTAAAGCATTGACACAAGCAGATACTGTTATCAGCTCTCCACGCTCTGCTGACGTCACGTTACCAACCTGTTTTGCACCTTTAGATGCGACAATTTTCGGAGGATTCTGCAACGTGGTCACGCCGGTCTCATCTTGGTTCCAAATCCTTTCGGGTGGGAATGGACCAAAGCGCCTATGGACGTCCTCCAAATTATCAAAAATCTACTCACATTCGATTTATTAAAACTAGTTGCACGTGACATGCTAGTTTTTTCAGGTTTTCTTATGGCTTGGCCACCTTCGTTGGAATGCCGTTTCAAAAATAGCCTCATCCACTCTTCTCCTGCGAATTTACTTTCGTTCCATGTAGGAGGGAACCTCTTTTTGTTCGCCACAGCAAATTTATATGCTAATTCACCAACCTGTTTTTTGGATAGACCATAATTCATTTTTGCTGTAGTTTTGATGTAATCAACTAATTTCAATTCCTCTTCCTTTGTAAATACCTTCTTGACATCATAGCTGGCCTTATATTGAAAGTTTGTTGCACCAGATGTTTTGAAAGCATTAAGATGCCGAACAAGAGTAGCAAATTCAACATTAAAAATTCTACAAGCTTCTCTTATTGATATCCTCTTCTCTGGAGATCCAGTAACTGCTTCAACTGCTTTTTTCATCGACTCAGGGTCAATAGGATTTCTTTTTTTTTCCACTTGTACTTCGTGGCATACCTACTGACCTATAACAACGAACGAAATAATTGTAACATCATGTACCTCTGATCACTGATCAGTGGTTCAACATATTACTCACCAATAAGCAGTGATTCAGGTGGAATATTATTTCAAACACAAAACACTATAGTCAACTTGTTAAAAAATAAAGAGTAAAGCCAAAAGTCGTTACTTTTCGCACAAAGGAAATGTAATTCAACTCTACTCAGAAACAATAGCACATAGACAACCACTTTCCCGCCTGTTTGCACTCTACTGAGTAAACGCTTTCTAAGTTCAGTCGCTGGTAGCATCTGTCAGGAAACTGAAGGGTGATCCAAGGTACAATTTGATCAAGGTACAACAGTCTCCCCTACCGCTCTTGGTGGAATCAAATGTGCCAATTCAGTTGAACACCTTCCGTGAAAGTATTTATAGAACAACATTTCTTCAATGTTCCAGACTATCAAGATTGCAAATGATGTTCGTGTCTCCAGTCAGGCGGATGGCTCTTTTCTGGATAAAATACAGCAGCTTCAGTGTATGCTTAGGGGCGGAGCTCCATACATGTGAACAATACTCCAAATAATGTCTGATCTGACCTTGATAGAGCATCAAAAGATGCTGAGGTGTGTACAGTTTTCTGATTGGGAAGAGTGTTGGAACTGTTGGAAGAATGATTTGATAAGTCATAGCATCGAAGTTTGGCCATCAAACCCTCAGCCCACATACGGTCAAAGGTCTGGGAAATATCAAGCGAAACAGCTCTTGACTGTCCATGTTTCTTGATTGCGTTATTCCAAATATGGGTGTCATGTGATAGAAGGTCGCCTGTTTATCTTTGTTTTCGAAAGCCATATTGATGATCGCTCAAGATGTTAAAGCTTCCCAAAGACCTAAAGATATGGTGATTCACGACATTCTTTATAATTTTTAATATCACTGATAGCAAAGCGACTGGTCTATAGTTATTTGGAAGATTTTTCGTGCCATTTTTGGGTACAGGCTGAACGCGAGCAATCTTTCAACAAAAAGGAAAACTCCTTCCTTGAAATACAGGTTGAAAACTCTGCAAAATACTGGTGCGAGTTCATTGGCGCACTCGTTAAAAACGGTGACGGGCACTGAATTAGAACCAGACGCCTTGTTGATTTCAAGTTGTTTCAAAATTCGCCTGACTAGACGTATAAAAATCTACATATCATTGCCAACAAACCCAGATAATAGCTTCGGCACAGTGAACGTTCCCTTCTTTCTATTCTGAGTTATTCCCTAAGAGTGATCCAACATCAAATATTCTATCATCACACAAAAACATTGACGACTGGATCGCATGACACCAACTATTCTTCGAAACGAAAAATACAGCGTGATTCAAGGTCTCAAACTTTTTACAACTTTTACTTTTATGGCGTGAGTCATTGGCAAGGTAAGTGCAGTTCCATTGTTTGGCAGCTTTGCGATCGATAATCACATTGCCGCAGTTAAAAATTTACCAAGGAATCAAATTAACTGATGTAATTGTTCAAAATATTTCTACTGAATAATGATGGTCAAGTTGCATGCTGAATTCTTCGAAAGGATTCATATGTTCAGGACAGTTTCTGTTCAAAATCTTCAATTATGGGTAAGTTAGGGGCCGTTCATGTATTAGGTGAGCATGTTTATTACAATTATCCTTCTCTCCTTTCCCTTTGTCAGCAATAGTGAGCAAAACTCTCACTATTTCTCCCTCACATGCTTACGTAAACATTATTATATGCATCTTTCTCTTTCTCATTCATTCATGAGCAGCTGTTATAATTCTAGAAATGAGAAAATAGATTTAGTATAGAGGACTTCAACGAACATAATATTCATTCAAACAAACATTGTTGATACGATATTCAAGAAAGAGTGAGGTCAAATATGACAATCTTAAATAATATTACGAACAAAACAAACTTTTTCCAAATTTTTGGTATACATATTAATTCTCATCAACAGTCTTTAGTCCATGATACCCGAATCCATGATTCTGAGATTGGCATTGGATGACATTGGATATTTGCTGCTCAATGTTGTGTCTGCTCACTTTTATCCGATTTTGGAATGTCTACGTCGTTCTCATTGAACCATTCAAGTTCGTGGTGGGTCCTCTGAATTTTCAATAATGCACATCCGTTCTTTAGCACGACGAGCAGAGACTCTCATAGGCCGGCCACTCACGTACAGATTTAACTGTCAGTTTCAACTGTACAGTTAAACGGTGTCATTGCTTTTCTAGTTTGAAAGCCGTGGATTTTTGAAATTTCTTCCTGACGTTTCGCTGGCGCGAGTGGCTAGCTTCTTCAGAAGTTTAACCATCAGTTAAACAGTACAGTTAAAACCGACAGTTTCAAATGTAAACTGAAATGTACACAGAAGTGCATTTCATTTGTTCATTTCTTCAGTTTTTTCCATGGACTCAAACGGGGATGACACGCTATGGTTGCGCTCAGTTTACTTTTTGCAATGTTAGTACGAAAAAGAAAAAAGAAATCGCGTGAACAGGGTTGCAAACAGTGGCTACAAAAACGAAATGCATCTTACCACATAAATTTATTGAATGAAATAAGGGAAGAGCCATATTTGCCTTACTGACGTCCAGCCCCGACAATAATCTACCAGCCTGGGCCGAGCTACTTTTTGGTAATCACATAAATACCAAGTTAGGTTATACCGGAAAAAGAAATTCTACCAGAAATAATATAAGAGTAGCATTTTCTATAATGCCCGATTCTTGTCTTCAGTCTCAATACTTGTTCTGGTTTTCCATAACCGCTCTGTATACGAAAGGTTTCGTCACCATGAGTCAATAAATGTTCCAAATCGAGATTAACACAGATAAGAATATTGTTATATCATATGAAGACTGACCAGGTGGTCAACCCAAACGTATACAACTCACAAGTGAAAGTGGTTCAACTACTCGTAATCTTAAACCATATCCTGTGTTTTCTTGTTTCGATCTTTTCTGAATAATTTCAGTGTCGATCTGGCTCTTGCAGAGAACGATTCCATTATTGAGAATATGTATGTGATAGGCGTCTTTGTGATTTTTGGATTAGTAATAGGAGTCTATAGTTTTCCTGATGGCGCTCCTGTAGATGCTTGTGTAAAACCCAGACCGAACCAACCCTATCATGGACAAGCTAGGCCGCAATCGCCACAAACCAACCCTTTTCAAATTTTGCAATCAGCTGCAGAGTATGGACCAGGAGCACAAATCACAGGTTAGAGTATTCCGAATATTGTTCACAGTTTTTATTCACCTTTTTGGATCTTTTCAACTGCTACAACCGAGAAAAAAAATTCTGAAAGACTTAATGATACAGGTCCAGAGCGAGTGGGTCTATTCAACTTTCTATTGCAACCCGCAAGGGTTTATTGTGGCTGAGATGCAAGTGCATACATTTTTTAAATTTTTCTTGGAAAAAAAAGATCTTAGAATTGTGTTAGGTATCTCTCAATGTCTCGGAGACCGAAACTTGGCTCCGTTTACATTATAGCCCCAACCAGCAAAGTTGTTTTATAATTCCAAGGTGTTGCAACACTTTTATTTTATTAGTATTTTATAATTACTTCCAAAATGCTAATTGATTATATTAGATGGTCGGTGAACACAATACAGTTGTAGGCAATAAAAGTGTTTTATAAATTGGTCATAGAAACGTTTATGAAATAAAATTGAAATACCATTATAAAATAGTCAGGAAATTATCACAGAAACGTTTTTGCAACTAACTTATAAAACTTATTTTCCTATGAAAGTAAATTGTTTATGTAGCAGTTTTATAACACTTTTCTGCGAGATTTTAATGATAGTTGTTAAACTATTTTAAGCTTATTTTATAACTGTTTCCTCTAGCTTTAATTAAATTATTTTATTAGAATGATTTCAGATACTATTTTATTTTCATTACCATATTGTCACTTCAATGATAATTTCCCAACTATTTTATAGTATGGTATATTTACTACAATACAAAAACACTAATATAACTGTTATAAAATCAAATTGTTTTTGCTAATATATATTTGCTGCCACCAAGAATAAAATGCCGTATTCGAAAACAACCAGCTGACATCGATTCCTAATCACAGCTTTGAAAAATTCTTCAAAATTTTAGTTATGTTTAGTGAGAATATTTTTGTTCAGTTATTCAAGTGGGACACCATCGATATCGTGGTGGAAATTAATTCTTCAGCAACTTCTAAATATTTTATTTTTATTGAGTATAGGTACCTCCTAAGTAAATTCAATATTTTTAAGCCATTGGGTTTAGTAACTCAACCTCATTATTTACAATTTGGAAGACTAAAATACAAAGGGTTTGCACTTTCAAGTTTCAGTTTTTAGTTATCTATTCAGGAAACCTGGATATTTTGTTCTGAGTGAAGCAGTTACGTGTTACAACTCTTTAAATGATGACAAATTCAGGTACAGCAAGGTATGCTTCACAGACAGTATTCAGAAGTAACTCCTCGAATAACTAATACCTACTGTCATATAGACGGTGTCCTATATAAGCTACATAACTCTACGTTTTTCACACTTTCTGTAACAACTTGTTTGAATGAAAATAACCCTGCTTGCTTTTTGGGTTGCATATAATTGATAATTTCTTCTTGTTCTGTATCGCCATTCTTCAGCATTTGTTCTAATAGTTCTTCTTCAGTAATTTGGTAGGTCATCAAATGACTTCGTCATTCGTCATTTCCGTCGTCATACCCATGACGACGGAACTATGGTGAACATATATCATCAATATTTCATCGGCGTTCATATAGGTTATGTTTAATATTCAATATGTATTTAGCATTAGACAACGGATATTTATCATAAAAAAAGTAATATGTGATTAATAAAAGTAACTTATATTATAAGAGTCACCAAAGTGTCGTTTATTAGCAAAAATGTTGCCAACTAACTTATAAAAAATCACAATAGTTGTGTACCGACAGCAGAGCCACAGCGAAGCAGAAAGGCATACAAATATTAACAGGGCAGTATTTTTAGTATTCTGTGTACAAAAAAAACATCAAAATAACGGGTTGCTAAACCATTCAAGGTAATTCACGGCATTTTATCCATTTGGGAGTATCTAGGTTTCCGATAATTTTGTGATTTGAGGGAAATATGCGTTCGCGTCCGAATTCGATTGTATAGGTTCGCTACCCGCTTTCTATAATTAATTCGTGACAGTGTTCGTATCCATAGGTATTCGTTAGTGTAAATGCCTTTGATGTTGGGATGTTGACTGATTGACGTTTGATTAATTCGAATACTTGACTGATTGACGAATGATTCGAATACTTTATTTGTAACAAATATTTTTTTATAATTTTTTGTTTAGTGAAAGAAGGGATAATGGTTGGTTTGGGTTAGTTTGGTTTTGTTTAAGTTATTTCAGAAAATCCATCTATTAAAAAAATACGGAAATTCTTGATAGTGGATCTAGAAAGGTTTGGTGTTGTAATATAAGGTATCACTCTTGCAAAATACTTCCATACTTTTAATACATCGTAGCTTTCGGCCAAAAAATATTGAAAACTCATTTTTATAAATTATAATTCATTGATACATTTTGTCAATAACTAATAATCAGTTTTCATTGTTACTGTATTCAATTCTAATTCACCTTAATTTTAGACACTATGATATGCATATATATGTGTATTATAAGTTATACTTTCAATTTGATAATAATTCCATTGTGTGGATACTGTAGTGAATTTTTCTGTTTGTATCCCGAATATATAAATAAAAATAAATAATAACTCAATGGCAGCCATTTTGAACATTTATTGGGGGGTACATAATAGTTTTAGATTCAGTTCGAGGTGCTTCAAATAGACGAAGTAATGACTTCGTGTTCCATAAAAAAAAATTCTGGAAGCTTTGAGTCGCCTTGTATATTAGAATACCAGAAAAACACTTTGAACTATCCCACCTAACCTAGTGCTTCAATTGTTTTTGTGAAAAACAGAAAAAGGTTATTATAATGGTTAAAACCCGTCGTTTAGCCTATATAATCGATGAAAGAAACTTTTTAGCCAAACATCCAGACAGATAATATTTATCCAAACTGTATGTGAGAAATCCTTTATTCATACAAGCACTTTTGTAAAAACCTACAGCTTTAAAAGTAGCCCGACTCTGCCGCAATACCATCACTCCCAGAACTAAGTGTTTCTTTACAGTTTTATAGGGGTAACATAGTAGCTAAAATACGTTGAAATGCTTGCTACTGACACCAATTTATTTTATAGAACGACGCCATTTTAAATTATAGCGATCCGGGATACTGAAATTAGATGAGTTGAAAATTTGAAATACCGCACATATAGTGATATTTACAGCTGAAAAGTACATAAATATTGAACATTATATTATTTAGAATGAAGTGAGTTGAGTTTTCGACTGGAAAATTAATACGTCGACAGAGTGAATTTTTGTATAATTAATAATTTTACCGAAAACATTTATAAATGAGTGGCGCGCTTAAATTTTGCTAATAATAGGCAATATATTTGACAATAAAATTTCGTTACCAGTAAAAATATCAATCTTCGAAACACAAACAATGTTTTTAACAGTTTTATGAGTGCAAAATGAAATTTTAAAATGGCTTCAACCTTTCTATTTGTTACTTTTCAGTTGGTGAGATCTATTATATTTTCCTGGTGTCCAATACAAAATTACTTCTTGCGTCTTCAAGAAAACATTTTTAATACTTTTTTATTTTATTGTTATCGTTTTTGGCTGTATTATATTTTATAACGCCTACTTGGAACTACTGAAAAACTTTTATAAAACTGTCTTCTGATTATTTTATAATTATCGCTTAAATATGTTGCAAAAGAGCAGTAAGGAAAGTCTTTACAAAACTTCTTTTCAAGAGTGATAGACAAATTTTATAGTAACTGCCAAAATGTTTTGAAAACTGTTTTGTAGTGTTTGTAAAAGGCCTTACAAAATATTGATAATAACTATAAAGTTTTATAAAATGGTGCCAATTTCCTATTTATAACAGTTTTATAAACACAATGAAAATATTTCTGGGAGAACTTCTTTCAAAATGGGGAGCCATTGTAGTACGATTCAATTCCAAATAACTGTTTGGTTTACAGTTTTCATCAAAAATAAGAACGAACGCTAATACTTTGAGTCCTTGGACCCTTAGCATGGCTACCATTCCATTCCAAAATCACCATAAGATGTCAAAACGTATTCTGACAATTTTGATCCCGTTGATCATCTATTTTGATGTTCAGTCTCGCGCATTTTCAATTGTCTTGGTGTCTTATCAATATGACCCTCTCCATGAGAATGAAGTAAGTTGACGATTGCATTTTTTGTTTTTCTTCCTGGGATTCAGCAACGGGAACGTATGGCGTTACTTGTTGTTGGGTTAGTGCTGTTGAGTTGGTGTTGCTGTTCATATAGCTACAGTCATTATGCAGTGTGTAAAAGCCAAATGGAATAAATTCATTATTTCGGTTACGATACATATTTTCAAAAAATCCCGAAACACGTCAATTGTAAATTACAATTTGACATTCTTTAACGTAAAAATGCCACCCCTACCTTCAACCCCTTTCGAATGAGAGGTACAACCCCCAGTTTTTTAAATAGGAAGCATAGGTTTGTGATATATCGTTTGAAAGGACTATTCATTTTCTATTCAAAAATATTATTGCTTTCAAGTTTATTGCAACAATTAAGATGAAATAAATTAAAATCATATGGTTACCAAATTAGATAAAATACACTCAAAAAGTAAATTGCAATGCAAAACGTAATGAAATGTAGAATACGAAAAAGAACTATGGATGTTAACGAAGTAGATGTTCAAAATATTTACCGCGAACGTCTTGGCAACATCCTTATCTTAAAATAAAACTGTATTCTAACATTATTTAAAATATCAGGCGTGACCGTCCTAATCGCAAGCGTTATTTGTTCTTTTAAGTCATTCAAATCTGAAGGTTCGGTTTAGTACTCATTGCTTTTTACATATCCCCATAATTTTATATCGATGTATTGCCGGACATTAACTTGGTAATGTGTGATGCTCCATCCTGCTGAAACCATATCGTATTGACAGGAACTTGAGGGTTTCCTGGATCAGGATGTAAATTTGCTAAACTTGAAATGACGTTATTTTGAAGTAGTGCCAAACAAGTATCGCCACTCATGTTGCCCTCAATGGAAAAGGGACCAATGATA